CTGGCCTCATACTTGTGGCATGCCTCCTGCCTCAGCCTCCTGAGTGCTGGGATTACAGCCATGGGTCATCATGCCCAAACTGGGATTATCTTAATCTCGTCTTGGTATATGTACATATATATGTATGTATTTTTTTTAAGACAGTTTAAAGAAAATAGATTGGCTAATAATGATCTTGAGAGCATCATTCAGCACACATGATAGTGAAAGTTAAGTGGTATCTGCCAGCCTACAGACTTGAGGTGTTTAGCATTTGGCTAAAGATGAAATAGCTTTTCTTTTTTTTTTTTTTTTCCTGTGATACTGAGGATTGAATCCAGGACCTTGCACCGTGCTATATCCTCAGCCCTTTTTATTTTATTTTTTTTATTTTGAGACAGGGTCTCACTAATTTGCCCAGACGGGCCTCAAATTTGTGATCCTCCTGCCCCAGCCTCCCAAGTAACTAGGATTATAGGTGTCACCATGCTCGTCTTGTAATTTCTTTTTTAATGTAATAGAATCCAAAAAATGGGACATGAACCATTTCCTATAAAGAAGGCAAAAAATGTGTGTCTAGTGATATATCTTAGGTGTAAGCATTTGTTCTTTGGAAAGTAGCCTTCTGAAAAGGATTTAGATGAGAACAAAATTTTTTTTTTTTTTTTTTTTTTTGGTTTTGGTTTTTCTCTGGTACCAGGAACCGAACTCACGACCTTGCACTTGCCAGGCAGGCACTTTGCCACTGAGCTAAATCCCCAGCCCCATGAGAACAAAATTGAATGTGATACAAGAGTAAGGAGTACTTTTAAGAGAGTGACAGTTACAAATAATGAAGCAGAAATTTTATTAACATGCTGTCTAACGTGATTGTAGCCAAAGATAAATAAGTTAAATAGTAGATATGATTGGAGCGGAAGGGGACAGAGAACATGCTGTCAGTGGAGTGGCAAGTGACAAGTAGAGTGTGAAGATGGGACACGATTAGGGCCGGGCACTCCCTGTGACTGAGATCAGTTGAAAGAAGGTTGCTTTAGATCAAGAAAAGCCTTAAGCACAGTCACCCGCTGGTGCTTGACACACAAGCTAGAACTTACTGGTGTTGATTTCCTTGTGACTTGCTACCCTGTCCAGCCGAAACACTTAGTTCGGTGCTTGTTTTTGGTGCTTGCGGCCTCTTCCAGAAACAAGTTACTGGCGACCATTGTACTAGGAGAAACGTCTGTTTATAAAGGATGTAGGAAAGAGCTCAGTTTTGAGGAAGGAAGTAATACCATGGTGTTTGGGGCCAAGTTTTCATTTCCTCTTTTTTTTTTTAGTTTTTGGCGATATTGAGGACTGAACTCAGAGCCTCTGTACCAAGCTACATCACTAGCGGGGTTTTTTGTTTTGTTTTGTTTTGTGTTTTTGTTGTTTTTTGTTTGTTTGGGTTTTTCTTTGTTTTTAGGGTCAGGACCTCACTATGTAGTTCAGGCTGGCCGCCAACTCACAGCTAAACTCCTGTCTCAGCCTCCTGAGTGCTGGGACTATAGGTGTGCACCAGCACACCCAGCTTTAGTTTTGTTAAATTGTCTTCCTACCTCAGCCTCCCAGACAGTTGGGGTTACAGGCGTATGCCACCATTCTCAGCTTTCATTTCTTGTGTTGTTGCCAGGCGTGGTGGTGCACGCTTGTAATCTCAGCACTGGGGAGGCTGAGGCAGGAGGATTATTGCGAGTTTGAGATCAGCCTGGGCTACAAAGTGAGCTCAAGGCCAGCCTGAACTGCATAGCAAGACCCTGTCTCAAAAAAACAAAAGAACAAAAAACAAAACATTTCTTGTGTTGAAGGTAGCTTGGCTTACGCTAAAGCTTTTCAGAACTAAGTAGTAGTAGGAAGCCTTCACAGAACTTCCTTTTCCTCGTCACTCAGCCTGCCTGTCCACTCGCTGTTTATGAGAACTGTCCTTGTTACTAGAGCACAAAGAGAGCCTTCTGTTTGGGAGGGTTCCTCCTGCTTCCCATACTTGCACCATGGTGTTAGGCCCAGCAAATACTGCTGAATTATAACCTGAATTAATCATCAGAATTTCCTGCTATTTGAATTTATTGAGGTGAACATGTTAAGTCAAAAGTCAACTTGCTCTTTTTTTGGTGGTACTAGAGATTGAATCAAAGGTCTAAGGTATACTAGGCAAGAATTCTTTCAGTAAATTACACCCCCAGCCCCTCACCCCCTTCTTTTTTTTTTCCCCCTTCTTTTTTAAGGTATGGTCTCACTGTGATGCCCAGCTGTCCCAGACTTGCAGTCCTATCCCAGCTTCCTGAGTAGCAGGGACCATAGGCATGTGCCACCATGCCCAACTAACTTACTCAGTACCTCCCTCTGTATTCCTGCATCCTCATGCCATAAAGTGTCTGGGGGCAGGGGAGGTTGTTTTCTTGCTATAGTTAGCTTGTTTCTCTTCATTTAGCTTCCAGAACCAAAGCAAAGAGCACTGCTTTTCTCTGAGCAGTCACATTTGGCAGACGTTCCCTTATCAATGCCTTAGCATCTGTTAAATGGGCGTAGTAGTATCTTACGTATCTAACAGAAAGTATGGACCGTTTATGAGGGATATTGAGATTCTACTCTGACAAGCTTCCGGTGTCTAGAAGAGAGTTGGAATGGCTCAGATTGTAGAACCTCTTGAATGTCTGGCTGATTTTACACTCTGGGGGGGGGGGAGACAAAACCCCAAGGGTTTTCAGTGCTGTGAGGTGGGTGGTTAGAATATGCGTCAGGAGAACGTTCACAGCAGGCAGTGTTGCGATGTATCCTGGGTAATGAAGTGCTGAGCCAGGACAGCAGCGAGAGGGTAGGCAGGAGAGAGCGAAGACATCTTAGAGGTGGACTCTAGACGATGACTAACATGCTCAGATTTAATATGTTCTACATAGTAATATATTCTTCACCACAGAATGAGGAGTAAGTAAAAACTGATACCGATGGGCCAGGTGTGGTGGCGCATGCCTGTAAGCCCAGCACTCAGGAGGCTGAGGCAGGAGGATCATAGCAAGTTTGAGGCCAGCCTGGTGTACATAGTGAGTTCAAGGCCAGTCTGAACTGCATAGTGAGACCCTGTCTCAAAAACCACCAAGAAAGTGTTAGAAAGGACGTAGAGGACTGGGGCTTGTGTCGGATTTGGATGCGGCCTTGAGGAAAAGGGCTCTTTGCTCTGGAGGACACTGTCAGGAGGTGGAGAGAAATTCATCACTGTGTATTTTATGAAATTCATTCACTAGGGGCTGGGGATTTAGCTCAGTGGCAAAAGCGCCTGCTTGGCAAGCGCAAGGTCGTGAGTTCGGTTCCTGGTACCGGAGAAAAACCAAAAAACCAAACAAACAAAAAAAAGAAATTCATTCACTGTTTGTATTCTTGTCTAGAAGGGAGTTAAAACTCTTAAGCAGGAATGATGAAGCAGTCACATAGCCTGGTTAAGGGGATATTTGATGTTTTTGTATTTTAGAAAACGTGCCTTTGTTTGTATAGTTGGTTGGATTTTTTTTTAGTCAAGGTCTCACAATGTAGTTCAGGCTGGCCTTGAGCTTACTATGTAGCCTAGGCTGGCCTCAAACTCTCAGAGATCCTACTGCCTCAGCCTCCCGAGTGTTAGGACTGCAGGCCTGCGCCAACACACCTGGCCCAGTGTTCCTGTTTTGTGGTCTAGACACTGTTGATGTTTTGCTCCCGGTTCAGGTGTGGTTGTAGAATGGCGTTGGTGTGAGGGCTGGGGGTATGCCTCAGTGGTATGCCCTGCATAAGCCTGTGTTCAGTCTTCTCTCTGCAGAAAACAAAAGAAGAGACAGACAGGGAGTGGCCTTGTCTGATGTTGATTTTTTTTTTTTTTTTTTTTTTATGGACCTTACATTGTACAAGGACACCAAGGCCTACCTGATAGTTAGTATAAGACAAACTACCTGGTATCATGGCTGCTTTTGGCTTTTTCACTGTCTCCCAAAACAATGGTCAAAGGTACACTGCTCAATTCACAGATGGACTTAGTGGATCATACTGAAGTGGATAAATGAATTGGGTGGGAGGGAGAATTTTGAGGCAGCCTAATTTCACAGGTGGGGTAGAATGGT